AAATTGGTAGTGATGACAGTGACAAAAATTGGTACAGTTTTTCACTGTCCAGTCCCCAAAAATAGTGCTCCCAGTGTCCCCATTTTTTACAAAAATGTTAGTTTTTCTCCTGAAATGGTAGAGAATCTTTTTCTGGAGGTAATAGCACCATAAATATGAAATTTGATGGAAAACTGACAAAATTACTCTGGCGGAAATTTAGTGGTCTGGGCGCAATTCACGCAATGGCAATTTTACCCAGTTTAAGTGTGCCAATTCCATTGTTCAATTTGACAAAATTCTTGGCTATTTCACTAGCATGTCTCTTGTTCGACTGACTGAGCACAAGAAATTGTTCATTTGAATATCCAAGCTACAACGATAAATTTATTTACATGCTATGGGCATAGTGCTTAGTTATGATTATAATAAGAAAGCTATACTATAAAGTGCTCAGAATTTGGAAATTTAGCCAATTTTACACACAATCCAGTTTAAAAATTGAATTTTATGACTAATTTCAAGACCCACCCATACCATGGTTTGTTTACAATCGTGTTAAGATTTCGTGAGTCAACAACATAGGCATCCCAGTAAAACATTTTCTTTGTTCATTAATTATGACCCCAGCCCTCTCCTATATTACACTCATCTTCCATATTGAATTCATTATTTCACACAAAAAATTACCCTATTTTTCTGATTAAAATATAACCAGGAATGATTGGTTGTGGTTTACATCATCCCAGCAATTGAATCATGCCTATTAAAATGCACTAAAGAAAATTGGGGTTATAGGGGGACCTTACCCATCCTTGGGAAATTCAGTATCAAATATTTTCATTAATTTGAGGCTCATTTCTAGCTATTTCTTGTCCTGAACGCTGTATAGTCCTTGTGGCTTAGCGCTTCTTTTTGATTATAATAATAATCTTGTCCTGAAACCAACCAAAATCATCAGCATTTCAGTACGTCTTCCATTTTATTAAATGATACCAAGAAACCACCATTAAAACTGCAAAAACCATCCTAGAAAACACTTCAAAGTTGCTATTTTAAACCAAATGCAAAATCAGAATTTTTTTCCTATCATGCACCACACAGGCCAGGATTTTTTTTTTCTCCTGTGTGCTCATGGCACAGACTTCTCTCACATTTAGGCCATAATTTACCACTCACAGCTTATCTGCGCGAGTTGAGATCTCCACGAGGGACCATTGACAATGAGGGACCCTGGAGTCAATAATGTAGATCTACATAAGGGACCCTTGAGTCAATAATATAGATCTACATAAGGGACCCTGACATCAATAACAGATCTGCATGATGGAATGTGAATGGGTTTAGCATCTTGTGTTCACTGTGGTGACTAACCCAACGTTGTAATAATGTTGCTAGAATTACCGACAATATGTAAAGTAAAAGGACACAAGTGCAACTAATGTGACATTTTATTGTGGCTTGACAAAGCTCCTGGAGAGCAAAACGTTGCCACAATAAAATGTCACATTAGTTGCACTGTCCCTGTCTCCTCAACTTACCCACCTCTCTCCATGTCTTCCTCTCCTTGGTCTCCTTTTGTTTGATAGAAAGAACTGGAAATTCTATATTTTACATCAGTAGTACAGCAGAAACCCAGTATTCGTGGATTCAATTATCTGCAGTTTACCCTGGCCCAAAAAAAGAAAACTTTAATTTTGTTTAATAATGGCTCCAAAGCACAAAAGCAGTGATACTGGCAGTTTTTCAGATGGGACATTATGAACAATGGCTCAGTTTGAAACCAAAAACCTGAAACACCAAAAATACGAGTCTGTATATGCAGGGCCCTGCTGTATATGCAGGGCCCTGCTGTATATACAGGGCCCTGCTGTATATGCAGGGCCCTGCTGTATATGCAGGGCCCTGCTGTATATGCAGGGCCCTGCTGTATATGCAGGGCCCTGCTGTATATGCAGGGCTCTGCTGTATATGCAGGGCCCTGCAGTATATGCAGGGCCCTGCAGTATATGCAGGGCCCTGCTGTATATGCAGGGCCCTGCTGTATATGCAGGGCCATGCTGTATATGCAGGGCCCTGTGTATATGCAGGGCCCTGCTGTATATGCAGGGCTCTGCTGTATATGCAGGGCTCTGCTGTATATGCAGGGCCCTGCAGTATATGCAGGGCCCTGCTGTATATGCAGGGCCCTGCAGTATTATGCAGGGCCCTGCAGTATATGCAGGGCCCTGCAGTATATGCAGGGCCCTGCAGTATATGCAGGGGCCCCGCAGTATATGCAGGGCCCTGCAGTATATGCAGGGCCCTGCAGTATATGCAGGGCCTGCTGTAATGCAGGGCCCTGCATATACAGGGCCCTGCTGTATATGCAGGGCTCTGCTGTATAGCAGGGCTCTGCTGTATATGCAGGGCCCTGCTGTATATGCAGGGCCCTGCATATACAGGGCCCTGCTGTATATGCAGGGCTCTGCTGTATATGCAGGGCTCTGCTGTATATGCAGGGCTCTGCTGTATATGCAGGGCCCTGCAGTATATGCAGGGCCCTGCTGTATATGCAGGGCCCTGCTGTATATGCAGGGCCCTGCAGTATATGCATGGCCCTGCAGTATATGCAGGGCCCTGCAGTATATGCAGGGCCCTGCTGTATATGCAGGGCCCTGCTGTATATGCAGGGCCCTGCTGTATATGCAGGGCCCTGCTGTATATGCAGGGCCCTGCTGTATATGCAGGGCCCTGCTGTATATGCAGGGCCCTGCAGTATATGCAGGGCCCTGCAGTATATGCAAGGTCCTACAGTATATGCAGGGCCCTGCAGTATATGCAGGGCCCTGCTGTATATGCAGGGCCCTGCAGTATATGCAGGGCCCTGCAGTATATGCAGGGCCCTGCTGTATATGCAGGGCCCTGCAGTATATGCAGGGCCCTGCAGTATATGCAGGGCCCTGCAGTATATGCAGGGCCCTGCAGTATATGCAGGGCCCTGCTGTATATGCAGGGCCCTGCTGTATATGCAGGGCCCTGCTGTATATGCAGGGCCCTGCAGTATATGCAGGGCCCTGCAGTATTTGCAGGGCCCTGCAGTATTTGCAGGGCCCTGCTGTATATGCAGGGCCCTGCTGTATATGCAGGGCCCTGCTGTATATGCAGGGCCCTGCTGTATATGCAGGGCCCTGCAGTATATGCAGGGCCCTGCAGTATTTGCAGGGCCCTGCTATATATGCAGGGCCCTGCTGTATATGCAGGGCCTGCTGTATATGCAGGGCCCTGCTGTATATGCAGGGCCCTGCAGTATAATGCAGGGCCCTGCAGTATATGCAGGGCCCTGCTGTATATGCAGGGCCCTGCAGTATATGCAGGGCCCTGCAGTATATGCAGGGCCCTGCTGTATAGCAGGGCCCTGCTGTATATGCAGGGCCCTGCTGTATATGCAGGGCCCTGCAGTATATGCAGGGCCCTGCAGTATTTGCAGGGCCCTGCTGTATATGCAGGGCCCTGCTGTATATGCAGGGCCCTGCTGTATATGCAGGGCCCTGCTGTATATGCAGGGCCCTGCTGTATATGCAGGGCCCTGCAGTATATGCAGGGCCCTGCAGTATTTGCAGGGCCCTGCTATATATGCAGGGCCCTGCTGTATATGCAGGGCCCTGCTGTATATGCAGGGCCCTGCTGTATATGCAGGGCTCAGCTGTATGAAAGAATTGCAATGGCAGCAAGGTTATCTATTTTATGAAGAGTTCTTCACTGAAAATGTCTTAACCCTTTGACTGTTTTGGTCGTATATATACGTCTTGCAAGCCAATGTGTTTGACGTATATATACTCAAAAATTCTAGCGGCTTCAAATCAAGCGGGAGAAAGCTGGTAGGCCCACATGTGAGAGAATGGGTCTGTGTGGTCGGTGTGCATAGTATAAAAAAAATCCTGCAACACACTGCATAATGAGAAAAAAAAACACCCGTGTTTTTGGATTAAAACGCCGATTTTCAGGTGTATTTTCGTATAGTATTTATGGTTGCATTCTTGTTTTCTTGGTCTCATTTAGTAGAATGGATAAACATATAGAAATTGAAGTAACTTGGTTTTACTGTGAAAAATTTTTGATTTTGAAATGGAGCTCAAAGTCGCAGAAACATTAGATTTTTGCCGATGCTCAAGAGTAAACAAATGACGTCATTGTCCAATAAATGTCCAAGTAGCCATTCTAATACGCAGTCACGAATGGGTTGTAATTAGAAGTGAATGAAATATATAATGATTTATGTAGCATTATTGAGTTCACTGGTAATTGTGATCATCACAATATGTTTAATTTTGAATGGTTTAAATTTTACGTATATAAAAATGACTAGGTGCCCTAATCCCTCTGTGTAGAGGGTCCTAATATTACCTCTGTGTAGAGGGTCCTAATATTACCTCTGTGTAGAGGCATCCTAATATTACCTCTGTGTAGAGGGGTCCTAATATTACCTCTGTAGAGGGGTCCTAATATTGCCTGTATATAGATGGGGCCCTAATATTACCCCTATACAGAGGGACCCTAATATTACCTCTAGAGGGGCCTTAATATTCCCTCTGTATAGAGTGGCCCTAATATTACCTCTATATATATAGGGGGCCTTAGTATTACCTCTATATAGAGGTGGTTTAATATTCCCTCTATGGAGGAGGCCCTCATATTCCCTCTAGAGGGCCCCTAATATTCCACCTATATAGAGGGCCCTTATATTCCCTCTATATGGAGGGCCCTTATATTCCATCCATATATAGGGCCCTTATATTCCATCCATATATAGGGCCCTTATATTCCCTCTATATGGAGGGCCCTTGTATTCAACTCTATAGAGCAATTCTTGATCCAAATATTTCTCTATACTAAATGTAATTTTTTTTCTAGTCAGAGTATTTAGAAATTTTTTTACTGGGGTAACTTAGTATTAGGCCATGCTCGGTTGTGTGACCCTTGTGGGTTTATCGCTTATTTACAATTATAATAATCTAACTATGGAATGTATTGTCTTTCAGATCCATGATGTATGCTGGTGAACTCAAATTCGAGAAGCGGACAATTTCAGCACAGCGAGAAGGCAGCGTACACAGCCTATATTCACATGAAAAAAGGCTCTTTTAGACTTAAATTAAACACTTTAAATTTGTAAACTACAGGTATATTATTAATGACTTTTATAATTGACTGTAATAAAGGTTAATCTTTTTTTTATTAAGTGTACCAGTAATGACTATTTTGTAATTGGCTGTAATTAAGGTTAATCTTATTTTCATTGTTCAAGTGTACCAGTAAGGTAGGATGTGTTATATTCTATAATAGGTAATTTTCTTTAGGCTTTCATTGGTGGTATTATTAAGACTTGATCGTTGTTGATTTCTTGGTAAAAATGAGTGTTGGGTTGATGGTAGGTGTGGTAGTCAGCGACTCCAGCAACTGTAGGTTGCAATCTCAGTAGTGCTTGTTACATGTGCAGTTTACCTCATCAGATTATGTATGTGCACAGTGGCAGGTGTTTAGAAGAGCCAGAACCACATTTTGAGAACTTTTACACCGCTGTGTGTTAATAAATGGCTACTGGACGCTCCATTGTGATAGTTTTCTGCAAACCCTTTTTTTTCCTATCAAGATCATTATATTTTCTTTTATGAAAGGAGTGTGTGTGTGTGTATATATATATACATACTCTGTATGGAACCCAAGAAAGCCACAGAATTCCAATGACCACTCCAAACTACAATCAGAGATATAACATAAGAACAAAGGAACACTGCAGAAGGCCTACTGGCCCATGCGAGGCAGGTCCAAGTCTCCTACCGGCTTAAGCCAATGCACCCAACCTAGTCAGGTCAGGTCACATTGACTTAAGGGAGGAACACGGCAACCGACCTGGTAGCACAAGCTATCAGGTCTAACTCACACCCACCCACATCTACTCATGTATTTATCCAACCCATTTTTAAAGCTACACAACGTTCTGGCCTCTATAACGGTACTTGGGAGTTTGTTCCACTCATCCACAACTCTATTACCAAACCAGTACTTTCCTATATCCTTCCTGAATCTGAATTTTTCCCAAACCTTAAAACCATTGCTGCGAGTCCTGTCTAGGCTAGATATTTTCAGCACACTGTTTACATCTCCTTTATTTATTCCTGTCTTCCATTTATACACCTCAATCATATCCCCCCTAATTCTACGTCTTTCTAGAGAGTGCAGTTTCAGGGCCCTTAGTCTCTCCTCATAGGGAAGGTTTCTGATACATGGGATCAACTTTGTCATCCTCCTTTGTACATTTTCCAGAAATTTATATCCATTCTGTAATACGGTGACCAAAACTGTGCAGCATAATCTAAATGAGGCCTAACCAAGGATGTATAGAGTTGAAGAACAACCTGAGGACTCCTATTATTTATGCTTCTTGATATGAAGCCAAGGATTCTATTAGCTTTATTGCGAACACTTATGCACTGTTGTCTTGGTTTCAGATTACTGCCCAACCAAAACTCCTAAATCTTTTTCGCAATCCGTAAATATTAAGATCTACATTATTTAGTTTATATGTGGCATGGTTATTGTCCTGTCCAACATTTAGAACTTTGCATTTGTCTATATTAAACTGCATCTGCCACTTCTCCGACCACTGCATCAGTCTATTCAAATCTTCCTGGAGTGCTCGAATGTCCTCGTCAGAATGAATTCGATGGCCTATTTTGGTGTCATCGGCAAACTTGCCGATGTCGCTCTTTATGCCCTCATCTATGTCGTTATGTAGATTGTGAACGCAGGGGGCCCAACTGACCCCTGAGGAAAAACCGTTCGTGACGCTTCCCCACTCTGATTTCTCCCCATTTATGCAAACTCTCTGCTGCCTATTTGTCAACAATGCCTCTATCCAGGAAAAAATTTCTCCTATTCCATGTGCTTTAATTTTCCTCAATAGTCTCTGATGTGGGACCCTGTCAAAAGCCTTACTGAAGTCCATATACACAATATCATATTCATTACCATGATCTACCTCAAATACCTTAGTGAAAAAAGTTAATAAATTCGTAAGGCAGGAACACCCCTTTGTAAAACCATGCTGAGATTCGTTGATTAATTTATGCTTTTCAAGGTGGCTACGAACTGCCTCGGCAATTATTGATTCCATAAATTTTCCCACTATGGAGGTTAGGCTTATTGGTCTATAGTTCGAAGCTAAGGACCTGTCACATGCTTTAAAAATAGGTATCACATTTGCCATTTTCCACTTATCTGGCACCATGCCAGTTTGTAGTGATATGTTGAAAAGATTAGCCAAAGGTGTGCTAAGCTCCTCTTTACATTCCTTTAGAACCCTTGCATACAGTTCATCAGGGCCTGGGGATTTGTTAGGTTTTAATTTATCTATTTGCCTAAGGACCATGTCACTTGTGACCCTAATCGTGCACAGTTTATTATCGTCCTGTTCTACATAATTTATCATTACTGGAATATCGCTGGTATCCTCCTGTGTAAAAACTGAGAGGAAGTATGTGTTAAAAATTCTACACATTTCCTTATCACTGTCAGTGAGCTGACCCGAGGAACTTTTGAGTGGGCCTATCTTGTCCCTGATCTTACTTCTGTATACTGAAAGAATCCTTTTGGGTTAGTCTTCGATTCTCTTGCAACTTTTAACCTCATAATCTCTTTTTGCTTTTCTAATTCCCTTTTTTATTTCTCTCTTTAATGAATATATCGATTTCTTAATTCCCCATCTCCTCTTTTGTTTTTGCCTAAAATATGCCTCTCTTTTGACCAATCAGATATTTTAATCTATTTTTTCATCCATTTAGGTCATTTTTGTTTGATCTGATTCCCCTATTTGGAACATAATTTGACTGAGCAGCTAGAACTATGCCTGGAAAGCATCATATCGGAAACCTTTCACCACCTACCTGACCCTTAGTCAGGTCTTTCCCAGTTCAGCCCACCTAAGTAATTTTTCAGTCCTATGAAATCAGCCAAGCGAAAGTCAGGGACGGAGACTGATTGCCATTATTAGGGGAATTCCATGATATATTAAAACTGAGTGATTTGTGATCACTTTCCCCAAGCTCATCATTAACCTCAAGATTATTAATTAGTGTTTCCCAAACTGGCAAGAACCAAGTCAAGGAGGTTATTTCCCCTAGTTGGCTCTGTCACAAACTGTTTTAAAAAACAATCCTGGATCGTATCAAGAAAGTCACCTGACTCAAAATTTCCCCTGTCAAATTGCTCCAGTCAATCTGTCTATAGTTGAAATCTCCCATTAGCACAACATTTTCGTATTTTGATCCCTTACGAATTTCGTCCCATAGAAGTTTACTGCACTCCTATCAAGATTTGGGGCCCCTGTAAATCACACCCAAAATTAGTTTTTCTCGGCCCTCGAGAACTGTAACCAAACAGATTCAGTGGCTGACGCTTCTAATTTAATATTTTTGTCTAACACACAATTTAAAATTTGTCTCTGACATACATCGCTACTCCACCACCTTTCCTGTTGACCCTGTCAGTGTGGAATAATTTATAGCCTTGTATGTGACATTCAGAGGGCATCTCTCTATCTTTCAGATTGAGCCAGGTCTCTGTTATAGCAATAATATCTCTGTTTCCTGCACTTGCAATTAATCTTAGCTCATCTATTTATTTCTTACACTCCTGCTATTAGTATAGTAAACCTTAAGGGAGCTAGTCCCTTGCTGCCCTCTGCTGTCCCCCTTTGTTTGCTGACCTGATCTTTTGTCTTTATTTATAACTTCATGCTGAATCCCTTTTTTATACATTTACTGTTTCCAAACCCCAAGTTTTTGCAACCTGCTTTGTTTCCCACACACACCCTACCTCTATCTTCCATCAGTTTAAAATCATAGGCATTTCACCAATGGCCTTCTCAATCGATCTGCAAGTGCTACCACCCAGCCCAGAGAGATGTACCCCAGCCCTTGCATACTATCATGTTTGCCATAAAAGTTTTCCAGTTGTCAATGAAGGGGATTGCAATTTCCCTTGCAGTATCTGTCTAGCCAGCAATTTACCCAATTGCCCTAGACAACCATTCATTTCCTACTCCCCTTCTAGGCAAGATGCTACATATGATTGGGATCCCTCCCTTAGACTTAATGAAATCTATAGCTGACCTGTACTTATCTAGCAGCTCTTCTCTCATACCCTTCCCAATATCATTTCCACCAGCACTGAGACAGATAATGGGCTTGTTCCCATTACCTGACATGATATTATCCAGCCTGTTGACAATGTCCCCAACACCAGCTCCAGGGAAGCACACTCTATCTCTCATCTTCTTATTCCTATTACAAAAAGCACGGTCAATATATCTTACCTGAGAGTCACGGAAACCAAATTTGCGGATACAAGGGGGTTCTACTATATAGGGTTTGCTATTATCCATGGTTATGGGCATTGACAGTAAGTCTTGGGATGTATCCCCCATGGATACCTGGCCACTACTGTAGTAATAATAGCAATGGATTTTTTCAGTACTCAGCGACTCTATGACCACTGATGAAGTGTTAGTCCAAGTCAGAGTTCATCAAAACATCTTATTTTTCAACTCAGAATTGAGATTGTCCGTCGTTCTACCGCTGTCGGTGTTGGGAACTGCAGTCACGATTGAGAATTAGACTCAACAGTGTTACAGGGCAGGTAATGGTTGTTTGTGATGGTAGTGGAGGGTTTGATAGTATATATGATAGTGGTTGAGGGAGGTAGTAATGGTAGCTTAATAAAGTCATTTAAGAGAGGTATAACTCACATAAGAGTAATAAAGATGACTGCAACACGAGACCACAGGTAACACTGTGTTGCACAGTTCTTGCAACGGCAGATTGACTTATTCTTCCAGACACTGCAAGCTTCTTGCACTTGTCAACTTACTCAAACTTGAATGACAAAACAATGGTATTGTGGGAATTATAAAAGTTACGATAGACTGCAAGTCTTGTCTTAACCCCCCCCCCATTCATGTACACATACACACACAATATGCTCACTTGGTATACACACATACTCGGTATACACACACTTGGTATACACACACATTACACACACACACATTACACACACAAACACATTACACACACTTACACATACATTACACATTTCACACACATTACACAAAAACATTACACACACACACACATTACACACACACACACACATTACACACATTACACACACAACACACATTACACACCAACACACATTACACACACACACACATTACACACACACACACACATTACACACACACACACCCCACACACACACACACACCACACAACACACTACACACACACACACTACAACACACTACACACACACACTACACACACACCCTACACACACACACACTTTCACACACACACACTACACCCCACACACCTAACCACACTTCCCCACCACACTTTCACACACAAAACACAAACACACAACACACCACACACTACCCACACACAAATACAAAACACACATACCACACACACACACACACACACACACAAACACACACACACAGACACACACACACAAAAACACACACAAAACACACACACACACACACACCCACACACACACACACACCCTACACACAAACTACACACACACACCCCCAAAAACACACACACACAATAACACACACACAAAACACACACCCTTACACACACACCTACACCACACACTACACACCACACTACCCCAACCCCAAAACACACTACACCCCACACACTACACACACACCCACACACACACACACTACACACACACAAAACCCCCACACACACCCCACACCCACAAAACACACACAAACCACAAACAACACCCAAACAAAACTACACACACACAACACCACACACTACACAAAACAAACACAATACCCCCCCACACATTACCCCACCACACACATTTCAAATTACACACCCCACACCTAGTAGCAATCACGAAGAGGCGGGGGCCCGGAGCTGTGACTCGACCCCCGCAACCAAAAAAGGGGAGTACAAAAAAGGTTTGGGACACTACAACCACACACACACACACAAACCCCACACCACACACACACAACCCACACACACACACACACACACACACTACACCCCACCACACACTACACCCCACACACACACACCACACACACACACACACACACCCCACACACCACACACACAAACTTTTCACATTTTCACTACACACACTCACACCAACACACACACACACTACACAAACACATACACACAAAAATACACACACACAAATACACAACACAACACTACACACAAACACACTACCACACACACACTACACACACACCCTACAAAAACAACACACACTAAAAACACAAACATACTACACACCCCACAAAACCCCCAAAAAAAAATAAATTTAACACACCCACACACTCATGAACCCAC